TGTTTTCAAATAGATTATTATTAATATTGTAACATGTCTAATATTTATAAAAAATTATATAAACTGAATTGCAAAGTGAAACTATTTGTTCAAAGTATATTAGAACTATAATAAGAATTAAAAATAAGATCTGAATTATTTTCGATATATAAAAAATTTTTTTTTTGAAAAAAAAAAAAAGTTGAAACAATTTTTTTTCCAAAATCAATTATTTTGTTAAGACAAGCAGAAAGTTCTTTGAATCATTTAAATCGGACGCTTAGTTCTCTCAAAAACTGTCATTTTTTACACATTTAGCTCCGTATCTTCGAAACGGCTAGGCCTGCCTTTGAAAAAAACTAATAAACACTTCTCCCAATCATTACTAATTGAATGTTTTTTAGATCATTCAAATCGGATACTCCGTTCTCTCAAAAAGTCGATTTCCATTTTCTGCACTCTTTGCTCCGTATCTCCGAAACGGCTGGACCTGCCTTTGCCAAAAACTAATCAGCTCTTTTCCCTATCAATAGGAATCGAATGTTTTTTGAACCATTCAAATCGGTTGATCCGTGCGCCCGAAAACGTGACTGGTAATTTGTATCCATACATACATACACACACACACATCCATTTTTTCTGAGGTATGCCAAAATGTTCAGAATCCTTCAAAACGTCGAGAAATGTAAAAATTTTCAATTTCGATTTTCGGCCCATTACAATAACTTACCCTACAGAAAGTTAAAAAAAAAAATTAAACTTTGAAAAAATTAGATTTTTGAGAAATTTTAAAATTAAAAAAAAAATTTTTTGAAAAAAATGTTTTTTTAACTTCCCGTAGAGTAAGTTATAGTAATCGCAAAAAATCGAAAATAATTTTTTTATATAGGTATCTTTACGTTTCAAAACCTTCTGAACATTTTGGCATATCTTATAAAAATGTATGTGTGTGTGTATCTTTACGTTTCTGAACATTAGGGCATATCTTAGAAAAATGGATGTGTGTGTGTGTGTGTGCGGATACAAATTTTCGTCGACGATTTCGGATTTCAAAACTGCGATTTTCAAAATAAAAAAAAATCCAAGTTTTTTTTCCAAAAAAGTCATTTTTTAAAGAATTTAAAATTTCTCAAAAATCAAATTTTTTCAAAGATAAAAAAAATTAATCTTTTTTTAAAAAAAAAAACTTTTGGTACAGGAAGTTCCAGCAATTTGCCTTCAGGCACAGTGACATACACCACTAGTTTTATTTTGAAATATTTTAGAAATTTTGAACTTTTTTCAAAGCAATCACACTGCTTTAGCTGCATAGATACGAAATATAGAAGCGCGTAAGCGCCGCGTCGCCGTTTAATGGATAAACGACGTTACGGAACCCATAGAAATGTAAAGAAAATTCATAAGTATCATTGAAATCTCTATAAAATATCTGAATTATAAAAATCGGACGCTCCGTTATCTCAAAAACTAAAATATCATTTTTGGCACTTTTTGGCCCGTATCTCCGAAACGACTAGACCTGCCTTTGCTAAAAACTAATCAGCACATCGCCTTACCAGTAGAAATCGAATGTTTTGTGAACTATTTAAATCGGTTGATCCGTGTTCGCGAAATCGTCGACAAAAATTTGTATCCGCACACACAAATGTTCAGAAACCTTTGAAACGTAAAGATATGTAAAAATTTTCGTCGGGAAAGTTAAAAATACTGAATAATCTATTTATTATTACCTTTGCCTTGGAATGTCTGGCCTCTTGATAATATCCTCCTCCTCCTGAGTACAATTTGCAGTTTTTGAGTATTCATCTTTTTTATCAACAGGGCTCCGAGCTGCGCTCATCAACATAACCATCATTATTGCTTCTACTTGTATTATTACTGTCGTTCATTTTCTGCACCTGCTCACTGTCATCTTTTATTTTAATACTTTTCTTAGGTGAACCGTTCTTTTTAATTGGTGTTTCAGCACTCGGTTTATTTTTACTATTATTATCTTGCTGCTTCTTTGAATCCGTCTTGTTGTTGCCATCGAGTGTCTTATTGTTTTGATTAGGCGTGTCTGGCGATTTTTGATCTGGCTCCAAATGCTCTATGCTAATTTCACGTTCAGGTTTTATTTTGCGGGCGCTATTTGATTGTCGTGTATCTTCACTTCTTCGATTTTGATAACCCATCTCCTCATCAGAATGTGATGTTTCTGTTGCTGAGTGATCTTTCAAACGGTGCTTTGAATTTGAGGTATCCTGGTTGTTACTACTGTTGGAGTGCTTATTGATCAAAATGCTACCTTGAGTCTGAGACCTAGCAAAAAAAATAATCAACATAAACTAAATTGTTTATGCAACCATTTCAAGATTTAGTAAAACAAAAACTTACCTAGACAATGTAGCAGGTCTAGGAGAACTGTGTATATTATTTGTGGAGTGCGAGTGATTAAGTCTAGAGGACCTTTCGTTTTCGTCATCGGAGCCATGGAAAGCTCCAGAGGCATCAAAAGTACCACCAGATTCGGACGGATTCTCCATGGCCCATTCAGGTAATATGTCATCGACATCCCAAGGTTTCCGAGCATTCCATGATCTGGCGACCGCGGATGCTCCACTACTTTGTGAGTTATGAGTAATTCGATCACCTCTGTCACTCGCACTCCCTCCGCTTCCTCGTTCTCGGAGTTCTCTCTCTAGTCTTTCTATGCCCCTGGATAAAAGTTCTCGGTCACCACCAGGGCCACCTTCTTGCCCTCCGCCAGAGGTGTCTCCATCGCGCCAGCTGGATGATGTACCACCACCTCGACCTGAAAAAGAGATAAAGGATACAATATATATATATATATATATATATATATATATATATATATATATATATACATAAAATTCTTTTGTACGGGTGTATAATTTGATACTTCCCCTAAAGGGTTATTCGGATTTTGATACTTCATTTTAGAGTTTGTCAAAGAAAATTTTTAAGATTTATTGAACGATGAAACTATAGTAATATTGTAGAAATAAATGGCAATAATTACAAAAAACCACTTATCATTGTTTGACATTGAAAACATTTGAACTGTCTTCTGCTAGAAATATCGATTCACTTGCAATTTGAATTTAGCTGAAATTATGAGCCTAGATAATATTAGAATAGATAATATACAAGAAAAATGTAATGTCTACATTATTATTGACGAAAAGCAGCTGAGATGTGCCAGAAATTAAAATAATATAAGATACGGTCAACAGTATATGTTTGGCAGATGAAATTATTGGATAATAAAGTGGTAAAGGTTGGCCACCCCAAAGATTTTTTGTTTATTTTTAGGGTAGATTTTTAAATTTGTATATTGCATATATAAAAAATGCATACAACCCTAAATTTTAACCCTCTTATCACAAACCCTTTTTGCTTAAAATTTATTATAGTAATTATATAATTTTTGATCCAGAATTCTGTCACTGAACATTTTTATTGAATTTAGATTGAGATTTTTTGAGCTTATAAAAAAGCTCAATTTTATATAAAAAAAAAATCATAAAGGATTATCCAATTTTCATTTTTTGAATTAGATTAACTTTCTACATTTTTATTTGTTTTAAATGCAATTGATTGAGGTAATTTTAAATATAAAATTAAATATAATGCTTTTATTTTTGTTTTATAAACTAAAAAAAAAACAAGTAGAGCAGAGTAAAATGAAATGAATAAAATTTAATAAAAAAACTTAGGTTTAAGTGGTAGTTTGCGTATGTGTCAATAATCAAATTAATTGGGGTAACTGAAATTTAGCGGTGACGATAAAATGTTCTGGTGTTTATTTAAAAAGATAAAATTATTCCTAAACCCGTTATTCCAAAAAATAATAATTATATTTAAACCATTTTTTAAGCTCATAATATTGAAATATTCCACATTCTTTGATGTTAATATATAATAATTTCATTTGCGTAAAGCATAGATTGGCAAATTTTTGCATTTTGAATTCCATGAGCTTTTTGATGGTTCTCCAATCTACCCTATATAATTAATTTATAAATTTCTAACTGTATTAAAGATTAGTATTAAACACTGGATGTAAAAATGTATGATAAGTTTATATTTATATTAATTGAATTTAAAATGACAAAATAAAATAAGCGGTAAGCAAATTTTTAATTATCAACATTTAGCAACATGTTTTGGAGATTCAATCTTACAGCTCAAGGCTAATGATGACCTGTCTAGTCTATATTTTTCTTTTTGTTAGGAGTTTTACAATTATTAAACCGTCTTCTAAATATTGATCAGAAACAATAAGTATTGCCAAGCATTTATCTTTCGACAGCCAATATGTAGGATATCTTTACAAGTTCAAACATATTGTGACCACAAATCAAATGCCAACATGGTACATTTTACACATTTTTATAAAAATGTAGCATTTTTTACATTTGTGGACCTACCACGTATAAATGATTAATAATTGATAGTATATTGTAAATAAAAGAATTTTAACATATGTTGATAAAATGAATACCTAAACTTTAGCAATAGTTTAACAGTCGACATTTTATTACAAGAGAAGCAAAAAACATTTTGTTAGTTTTTACAACTGTTGAACAAGCAGTATTTATTGCTGTTTATCAATTGAAAGCTGATAAAATTGTCTATAATACATTTATCAACAGAAGTATGTTATATTAAAATAAAGTAAAATATTAAAAATTACAAGGGGTATGATGCTTCTTGGGAATCAAATCAGTTACACAATACCCGAGATATTCATTTTTATGTTCTAGATTCTAGAGAAAAGTTTATTATAATATTGATTGTAATAAAAACAACAAAGTTTTACGTAGAGTATATGCCAAGAGATACAAAGAACATTGCCCGTGGGAACCATCGATTTAATTAAAATAATCAAATTATGTACAATTATGATAACACTAATGTGCCAATTTATGAGGAGTAAATAATCAAAATCAGTTCAGCATTTTTGGCAAAAACGTCGACAAAAGTTCTTGTAATTATTTGCTAATTATAAAGAAACGGCTCCGCTGATCACCGTGCAAAACAAAATTTTAAACACGCACAAATACTTAATCAATTTCAGTGTCAAACGTCAAACACCGCAAAAACAAAATTAGCAAATCGGATCTTTTGGCAAAAACAAAATTGTCTTAAAATGGTTAATTTACCCCATTTTTCAGTTCTCCTCTGTTCAGGTTGATTTCGCCACCCGTCATCATCATCCGTGCCGCGATGTCTCCTCCAATTATCCGTGTTTGCTCGGCCTATTTAATAAAAATTAATTAATTATACAGAAACATCAACACTTGCAATAATATTTACAACATAAATCCTTTACCGACCTGTTGGATTAAACTCTTTTCTAGGGCTCGTTGTGCCATTCCATTCCGCCTCGCCATTTTGTTCGGCCCAGGGCCTAGGCTGGAAATAATACACCAAATGTATTGCAATCAATAGCAATTCTAAAATTGTAATACACATGTCAATCATTATTTGGCAGTTTACAAACGCCGAATGTCAAAAATTTGGTATATACAATCAAGTTAATTGATTCTTTTGTTTTAACTTTTATTTTCAACAATTTCTTGTGCAATCTGGCTGTCATTCGCGCTGCGGGGTTGCCAAAGTTAAGAGAAAGGATAATGGCGGACGAAATTGAAATTGGAACTAACATGAAGTTGTAAATATATTATTATAATATTAATTATAATTATAATATTGATTATAATTATTATATATTAATAATATATATTTTGAAATTGAATAAGATTAAATATTATTTATTTATTATTCATTTACAAAATAATAATTTATAATAAAAAGTTTTAATAATTGACAGCTGGTGATTTAAGAAGGATAATTAGGAACTCCTAGATGTAACCGGCAATTTGCCTAAAGGCAAGTTGCATGAAATTCCTGATACATATATCTAATTCAATAAGTTCTAATTTAAAAATTATTGAGATTTGGTTACATTTAACATTGTGACTAATATTTTCAAAGTCTACTTCAAACATAACCTATATTGGCAAATACAACAGAGGCCAATTCTCAGATAAAATTGAAATGTTATGGTAACGCTATAAATATTGTTGATTTATTATTATTTTATACATAATGATTTATAACAAGGTTTATTATTTGACAACTGATGATTTAAGAAGGATAATTAGGAACTCCTGAATGAAATTGCATTACTGAAGACTAGGTGTAAGTGACAATTTGCCTTAAGGCAAGTTGCATAAAATTCCTGATACATATATCTAATTCAATAAGTTCTAATTTAAAAATAATTGAGATTTGGTAACATTTAACATTGTGACTACGATATTTTCAAATAAAAACAAACATAACCTATATTAGCAAATTAAATATAGAGACCAATTCTCAGATAAAATTGAAATGTTATGGTAATGCTATGTTATGGGTCTACCAGCGTATGAATTAGTAGTAAAAACTATCAAAAAGCTATGCATTTGCTGTGCCATCAGGCGTTTTACAAATAAAATCTAACCTACAAAACGCACAAAGATCAAATAATATTTTTATCACAAGTGCATCTTTCTGATGTCTCTTTGATAACACATCATGAAATTAGGTTTTATGTGAAATCATTTAGTCATAATATCCAAGAGAGTTATATTTTTATTTAGTTTATTGTACATATGAAATTTATAAAACCAACAGTTTGTATTCTATTATTTACGCAGAAAAGCACTTGCTATAAAAAATAAAGTGAAGATCAGTATCGATGATTTGAGTTAGACTAATAAGCTTTAGTTTTTCACTGAACACTAACCAATGCAATATCTAATTTTCAATAAAAATTTAACAATTAAAGAAATCTTTCAAACAAACCAATAATATCTGAAATTGGATTAATTAAATTTAAACTAAATAACACATTTCATTCTAATTCATGTTCTAAAAATGTATCTTATTTAATTCTAATATCTTTCAAACAGCTTTTGAATTATTAAAATCAATTCAGGACTTTTGGTTGAAACGTGATCAAAAACTTTACAATTTCGTACTTTGTTGCTAATTATAAAGAAACGGCTCGGCTGATCGTCGCAAAATCTAATCAACGCAAGTCTTTAACAAACTTCATCAAAACATGTTTTGAAAGCCCTTTTAGAGAAGACGTTGATTAAAAACGTTTGTTTTGTATCACACTTTCTAATTTTCTTCTAGTTTTTGTGTCACGCTTTACAATACTTTATCTAATTGGCGCCAAAATATTCAGAACAACTTTAAACGTCGAGAAAAAACAAAATGTACACATTAGACTTTCTTCTTCTTTCAAGAAGTTGATTAAAAAATCTCAACAAACAATATCTTATATATAAAATTGTTCTGTACGAGTGCATGATTTGATACTTGTCCTGAACGGTTATTCGGATTTTGATAAATCTTTCTGAAGTTTGTTAAGGGATTTTTTAAGATTTAATTATCGATAAAACTATAGTAATGTTGTAGAAATAAATGGCAAAAATTACAAAAAAACCTCTTATCATTGTTTGACATTGAAAACATTTGAACTGTTGTCTGCTAGAAATGTCAATTCACTTGAAATTTGAATTTAGGTGAAATTATGAACCTAGATAATACGTATTAGAATGTAATATACAAGCAAAATGTAATGTCTACATTATTATTGCCAAAAAACAGCTGAGATGTGCCAGAAATTAAAATGACGTAAGATACAGTCAACAGTAAACGGTTTGGCAGATGAAATTATATAATTCAGTTAAATAAATAACGCAATAGGTCCAAAATTTCATATACAATATTTAAAACTTATGCTTGTCGCATTTTGGTTTACTTTACTAAATTATTTCTACTTATTAAATTTATTGGTTTTATTAATTTTTCTACTTATTAAAAAAATGATTTAGAATTTTGTTTCGTGTGTCAAATTTCATTTGTTTGGCATTGAATATGGAATATTTAGCAAGTTCATTGATCTTACATTGAATAGTGCACACATGAACTAGATTTTACAAATTAATTCACCTAAGATTTGAACATAAACAATAATGTTTATTAAAACATTAGCAAGAAAAATGTACTTTAGGAATTATAATTGCCAAAAAGCAACTAATTTATTGTACGAAATATAAAAATTATGGACTAAATTATTGAAGCAATTATTCTGTGTGGTAAAATCAAGTGTGATATTGTTCTTTTACCGCAGATACTATATTATTTTTTTTTCTGAAACTTTTATACTGCTTATACTAAGACCATAAATGAATCACAAAGACATGACATCAAATAGAATATTAAAAAGTATGGCATAGGATAATAAATATTTGAAACTATCGAATTGTAGTCGTGGGTACAGGACAACGTCTGTCAGGTCATCTAGTATCTGTAGTAGTTATCTTATTCCACTTACCCTTCCAATGCGTATGCCAACATCATCTGGATCAAAGCCGCTCTGTGATCTTGGATATGAGGAGGAGCCCAATTGTGGAACACCACTGCCGCCCATCATGTTTTGGGAATGATAGGCATTTCCCCTGACCCCACGGCCTCTGCCCCTATCTACAGAGACGCCCCCTCCACGGCCTCCTCGAATTGATGATGATCCACCCCCTGTTAATGGTCTGCTGGGCCATCCTCCTCTCTGATAAAAAATAAATGATAAAGGAGATTGTATTTAAAAATTACTATTTAAAAAAGGTTGGAAAAAAATAAATAGTTTTAAAAATTGTTATTGAATGTTAATATAAATAATGAAAGTAAAAATTAAAATCATAAATAATAATTGTATTAGGTTGTCAAATATCTCCCTTCCGCCTTTTTGTATTATAAACCAATAGCAAAAAAGCGGAAGGAAGATATTTGACAACCTAATATTAAAAAAAAACTATCAGAAAATGATAAATAATTTAAGAAATTATTACTGAATAAATTAATAAAAAATAAATTTAATGATATAATAAAAAATAGTATTTAAAAAAAACAGATCATAGAAAAAAGTAATAAAAAATTTTAAGAATTGATATTCAATAAATTAATAATTAAATGAATAATTGCAATTTTTTTTTAAATAGTTATGCTTAAATTATTGTGATAATTAGTGTATTAAATATGAATAGTTATGTGTGTGATCAAAATTGTAAACAATGAACTTTTCTTACATTAGTTAGATTGGCTTCATCTTCTTGTGTCGGTGCTAAGGCGAGGGGTGGCTGTAAACGTTCTACATATAAAGATTTGAATTTTCCTAATAGCTCTGGCTGTCCTAAGGTTTTGTCGAACAATGCCAACATTTCTTCTCTCCCATAACTAGAAAACAAGTAATAAATAGACAAATAAATAAATAAATAAATAAATAAATATATATATATATATATATATATATAAAATGGTAGTCTTATTCTTATGAATGTTTCTGATAGTATTAACATTAGATCAGATCTTAACCTGTTACATGATTCTTATTTAGATTTTTTACACTTTTTGACAAACAATTAATATCGACTTCCATTTAAAATCAATAAATTAAGTATTTACGTCCTCACACATAAAAACAACACGCAACAGATCCTTTCACTTTTCAAGTAGCGCACGTGTGACTAGAATCAGTTCATTACAAACAGCCGATCTCATAACATCGAGAGAATAATATTGTTTGTTTCAAATAAACTTAAAAAAGGACATAACTTATAGAAACTTTGATTTACAAAATTTACCTATTAGGCTGAAAAGTAACTCATAAATTTATTTTTTGATAAAATCTTTTTTAGTGAAAAAGTGCTAACGTATTTTCAATCATACAGGTAATTAGTTCAAATTTTTTCATTAACTTTCCAAAACTTTAAATTTTTTTATCATTTTTAATATCCTGTTAAATAATCCATTCATTTATTTTTATCATTTTCATTTTGATCATATTATCATATTTCTGTATATTATTTTTTCAACTATATTATTAATTAAAAAACCCATCTTCTTTCCTTAAACATATTGTTTGCTTAAATCTTATCAAGATCATGTTTCTTGACAGATGTCCTGAAGATGGAACGAACCTAGTTCCGAAACGTCGACAGTAAATAAATAAATAAAGAAATGGTTTATTAAAAAACTTTTTGTTTTTTATTACTTTTTGGATTCTTGTTCCAAACTCTACAATATATATATATATATATATATATATATATATATATTTCAAATATATTCAAAATCAAATGTCAAATATCTCCCTACCGCTTTTTTGTATGGTTTATAATACAAAAAGGCGGAAGAGAGATATTTGACAACCTAATATATATATAATTTAAAATAAATTGTATTAATCCAAACTAAAAGCTTCCTTTCATCTTCAAAAAAAATCTAAACACTTGTCTAATTATTTTAAAATTGAAACAACTAATACTTTTTACCTTAAACATTTTTTTAAATTGAATAAGTCAACAAACAACAATGAATTATTGACTGAATATTATTTGTACTTATGATTTGATAATTATTATCATTCTAGGTAAGAATTTTCTAAGATGCATTGTAAAGGTGGTAAAACAATAACTAACAAAAAATTATAAACAATTTTGAATTACTAAGAATCTTTCAAGATAAAAATTCTCTCTGTATAATGAATTATTTGTAAAAATCATTTCCACTTCCATATATAATATCATTTTCTATGTATTTCTATTATCATTTTCTATGTATTTCTATTATCATTTTCTATGTATTTCTATTATTATCATTTTCTATCTATTTCTATTATTATCATTTTCTATCTATTTCAATTATTACCGATGTTCTGCCAGTTGATATTTAGGCCCCCCTCCACCGGAGCCTGCACTGGGTCCATCCTGAGATAGATTGCGCAACCATTCAGGTCCAAACTTCAGAGAGTCGGTCATTTTGATTTTAAGTTATATGCTGCAAAATTGATGAATGATAAGTTTCTTTAATAAAAAATAATAATATACAATTATGGTTTAGGTATGTTATTGGATTGGCAAGTAAGTACTTTGATAAAAGAAACAGGAATCACATTGTAAATTATTATATATATATATATATATATATATATATATAAAAGTAAGTAATAAAATAAGTATAAATTTTGTTTCTATAAGTAGCTGCAGTTGACAAAAAGGTGTGAGAAGTTTGTGTCCTCGTTTATTGTTTAAGAAAGTGAACATTTCTGAATAATATAATATAATAATATAAAGGATTCTGTGGAGATTTTTCCTTCAAAGTTGAGCAAATTGCTGGTCAGTCTACTGAAGCAGATGATGATTAAATCAAAGACATAATTGAATAATTGAAGATTCTGTATGTATTGCACAAAATAATTGAAGTTAAGAAGTTTTGGCCTGGTTAAGAAGCAAATATAATTTGTTAACCTCAAAAATAGAAAGAAATTCTTTTAACACAAAGTATAATATATATATAAACATTTGCTATATGCACATTAAACAAAATATTTTTTTTTTTTTTTTTAAATAAGATCCCTGGTTAAGAAAAATGGGTACTCTACAGTAACATCAACCTAAAAACCTCAAAAATAACCTAGAAATTTGAAAGAAATTCTTTTAACACAATGAAACCAACTGTTTTTTTAAAATAAGATCGCTGGTTAAGAAAAATGGGAACCTTACAGTAACATGAATCGAAAACAATTATAGAGCAAACACAATGAAATATGTAGTACAAACCACATTGAATGCTCTGTGTTCGAAAAAGAGCATGCAAACAGGATTACAATTTTTATAGCTCCTTCCAAATGACAAAATGATCAATCTGATGTTTACCAGGTGGGAATACTAATGTGTTGTACATTTTAAGGAACCTAACTATCAATTCTGATCGTTTACTATCAACATTTAACCAAACTGAATGAAATAATCAAAGAAAGAACGACCTCAGACATTTTTGGCAACTCTTGGAGCTTCAATAGTAATTCAAGTAAACGATCATGGAACAAATATGATAAACCAGCACAAACAACATCTATATCTTTGCATCCTGAGATTACAATTTTTTTTAACTCTTCCAAAAGACTAAATAATCAATTCAGCTGTTTACTATTGATATTAGATAAAGAAATTAAGAAAAATTCTCAGAATTATCAAATTGAAAAGGTGCAGAAGCCTCATACAGCTTTGAAAACTTGTGGGAGTTCGGCTGGTACAAATTACACCATCTAGTAACCATTACAATACTAAGATATATTTTTTAACTCTCCAAAGAAACTACATGATCAAGATGTTTGCTATCAGCAATTAATGAAACTGGATGAAGAAATCTAGGATAAACTGTCGGAATTGTGTAAAATGGTTTAAAACATCTTTGAAAACTTGTGGAACTCTATTAAAGCTCGGCTGGTGAGTAAAACTACATTCTTCATATCTGATACTATCTGAATGGGAATACAAAGATGTTACATTTTTTATAGCTCTCCCAAAAGACTAAATGACCGATTTGGATGTTTGTCATAAAAAATCAATGAAACTGGATGAAGCAATCTAAGAAAAACCATCGAAATTGTCAGATTGAAAAGATACAATGGCCTCAAACATCTTTGAAGACTTGTTGGACTATGTTGAAGCTCGACTGCTAAATAAAACTACATTCTTCACATCTGACACTATCTGAATGAGAATACAAAGATGTTATATTAATTTTAGCTCTCCCAAAAGACCATATGATTAATTTTGATGTTTGATATCAAAAATCAATGAAACTGGATGAACCAATGAAAGAAAAACCATCAGGATTGTCAGATTGTAATGCTGCAATGGCCTCAAACATCTTTGAAGACTTGTGGGACTATGTTGAAGCTCGATTGCTGAGTAAAACTACGTTCTTCACATCTGAATACCATAATGGGATAGGATTACAAAGGTGTTATATTTATTCTAGCTCTTCCAAGAGACAACATGATCAATTCTGATGTTTGCTATGAACAGTTAATAAAACTGGATGAAGCAATTTAAGAAAAAATGTCAGAATTGAAAGGATCGAGCTGGTGTAGTCTTTGACACCTCGTGGAACATTATTGGAACTTGTCTAGTGAGTAATACCACATTTTTCATACAGCATCAATCCGATACTGTCCAAAAACCAGAATTCAAAGGTGTTATATTTATTCTAGCTTTCCCAAGAGACTAAATCATCAATTCTGATGTTCTGAACTATCAGAATCATCTGGTAGAAAAGGTGTACTTCCCTCAAACATTTTAGGAAACTTGTGGGATACTATTGGAGCTTCGCTAGCAAGTAACTACACTTCTCATATAGCATTAATCTGACATCTGAATAGCAGAATACAAAGGAATTTCGAAGGTCTTATATCTATTTTTGGTATCAATAGTTAATGAAACTAGATGAAGCAAGCAATCCAAGAAAAACTGCAAGAACTATCAAATTGAGATGATACACAGACCTCACAATATTTTGGTAACTTGTAGGAGCTTGGCCGGTACGTAATACCACATTTTTTATACTGACACCATCCAAATACCATAATATGATAGGATTACAAAGGTGTTTAATTGTTTTTAACTCTCACAAGAGACTAAATCATCAATTCTGATGGTTTTTATTGAAACTGGAAGAAAAAATTTAAGAAAAACTGCCAGAACTGTTGAATCAAAATGATGCAGAGACCTCACACATTTTGGTAACTTGTAGGAACTTCACTGGTACATAATACCACATTTTTTATACTGACACCATCCAAATACCATAATATGATAGGATTACAAAGGTGTTAGATTGTTTTTAGTTCTCCCAAGGGACTACATGATCAATTCTGATGTTTGCTATCAACAATTGATAAAACTGGATGAAGAAATTAAAGAAAAAATGACAGAATTGTCAGATCAAGATGGTATAGTGGTCTTAAACATCTTTGGAAACTCTATTAAAGTTCGTCTGGTGAGTAATGCCACATTCTTCACATCTGAATACCATAATACGATGGGATTACAAAGGTGTTACATTTTTTTAGATCCTCCAAGAGATTAAATGATGAATTCTGATGTTTGCTATCAAAAATTATTGAAACTGAATGAAGCAATCTTAGCAAAAATGTCAGAATTGTCAGATCGAGATGGCATAGTAGCCTCACGCATCTTTCGCAACCTGTGAGACATAATGGAAATTTGTCCGGGTTAGTGACAAGTAGCCCATTTACCACACAGCATCAATCTGAAACCGTCCAAATACCATAATATGTTGGGATTACAAAGGTTTTGCATTTATTTTAGCTCTCCCAAGGGACTACAAGATCAATCCTGATGTTTGCCATCAACAATTAATGAAACTGGATGAAGAAATTAAAGAAAAAATCTAAGAATTGTTAAATCGATAAGGTGTAGTGGCTTCATACATCTTTGGAAACTTGTGGGACTCTATTAAAGCTCGTCTGGTGAGTAAAACCTAGTTTTTCATATATCATGAATCTGATATCATCTGAATACTATTAGATTACAAAGAAGTTATATTTTTTAGCTCGCCCAAGATACTAAATGAGCAATTCTGATGTTTACTTTGAAAAAAACAATGAATCTGAATGAAGCAATCTAAAGAAAACTGTCAGAATTGAATAGATCGAGCTGGCATAGTAGCCTCATACATCTTTGACAACTCGTCGGACATTATTGGAACTTGTCTGGTGAGTAAAACCACATTTTCCATACAGCATCAATCTGTTACTATCCAAAAACCATAATACGATGGGATTACAAAGATGTTATATTTATTAAGGCTCTCCCAAGGAACTAAATCATCAATTCTGATGTTTGCTATGAAGAATGAATGAAACTGGATGAAGCAATCTAAGAAAAGCTATCGAGATTGTCAAAATTGAGAAGCCACAAAGACCTCAAACATCTTTAGAGACTTGTGGGACATTATTGGAACTTGCCTGGTGAGTAATACCATGATGAAGCAATCTAAGAAATGAAATCAGATAGAAAAAGTGCACTTTCCTCAAACAACTTTGGAATTCACACTTCTCATATAGCATTAATCTGACATCTGAATACCAAAATACGATGGGATTATAAAGGTGTTATATTTACAGTGATACCCCACATTACGTTCTTAATTTATTCCAGGAGAAAGTTCATCGTGCAAAAAGTTTGCTGTGTAAAATGCATTTTTTATATAAATACATAAAAATAAAATTAATTCTTTCTACAATTTGAAATGTGATCATAGAAAATAAGAAATATTTTACACATAATTAAAAGAGTTAAAAGAATATTACTTATTTACGAAATAAGTTATCAGAGTTGTCCTGCTTCCTTTTGTGCCCTTTTAGCTTCTGAATTTTTAAAGAATACTATCAATAAAAACTATCAATAGTTTATTTTCTAACAAGTGTATTTTCACAGTGGAGCAAAAATTCCAAAGTGTGGAGCAAAGTTTGTTATGTGGAATGTTCAAGACCGACAAAAAAAGGTCATTATGCGCATCGTCCATGTGCGAGGTGTACATTATGTGGAGAATCACTGTATTTTACTTTTTCCAATGTACTAAATGATCGGTACTAATATTTACTATCCCCAATTAATAAAACTGGAAGAAGTAATCTAAGAAAAACTGCCAAAACTGTCAAATCAAAATCATGCAGAGACCTCAAACATTTTGGCTGATGGGTAATATGACATATTTTATACAGCATCAATCTGACACAATCTGAATGCTATAACAGTTTGAGATTACAAAGGTGTTATTTTTATTTAGCTCTCCCAAGAAACTAAATAATTAATTCAGATGTCTACCATCAACCATTAACAAAAATGAATGCCACAATCTAAGAAAACCTCACAGAATTGTCAAATAGAAAAGGTGCAGTGGCTTCAAACATCTTTGGAAACTTGTCGGACACTAAACTTGACTGGTAAGCAATACCACACTATGTAACATCAATCTGGCACAATTCGAATACCATTTATATCAAAATTTACAGATGTCACAAAAAAGTCACCTTTACTCAGTTTTGCTAAAGACCAGAATGTTATGAGTGCAGCTGAAAGAAAAATAGGTATGTAATTAATATTAATATCTGTTTTTTTATACCACAATAAAAAAAGTACTTAGTTGCCAAACCTATACCATATATCACTTTCTGTTTTGGTAAATATTCAATTATCTCAATTGTCAACTGCAGTGTTTTCGTTACCAAAAGTGTATCGCAACAGCACGCGTGTATAACTATTTATAAAAAGGTTTTAGATGCAAGTAAATTACTGGTTATGTTTATAATTCAATTATAAAATACGTAAACAAATACTATCGGACAAGGCACACTATATATGGCAGCACTCGTCATTTATCCAAGTACATTTCTTCGTTCGTCTGTCAAATGTCAAATAGCAAATTTTACACAAAACAAGACACACGCAGTGCCCGTACAATTTACGTAATTCACTCTTTTATCCTGCGATCACTGTTGATATAATCGTGTAAAAGCCAATGTGGCAGATAGTAAACATAAATGCACATTTTTTTGAAATTTTGCTCGTGCAAATTGTACATTATGATATTTCGCAAGATGCATATGTCGTTTATATTGTTAATAATTACATTTGCTATCACTTTCGTCTCGGCTACGGTTCAAAATACCTGATTTTCTTAAAGAAACACTGGGACACGATCGAGTACCAATATGGCTGATCAAATATTAATACGCATGCGTCAAAAGAGAGGGGTACGATGTCTGTCACGTGGGATAGAGCGACAGAGGAGAGTTTTTGGAATGAAGTGCGTGATCGGGGTTGCCAGATGAGATGAGTAGAACGACGACGATTGACAAGAGCGCCAAGTTCAAACGCACTGAATTGTTAGTGACTGTTCAAATTTAGTGAAACATTTCCCAACTGACCGAAAGTTTGTAGAGATACAATATTAAATTGACTGAAATTTGGTGGGATCGTGATTTTTCAACTACGCAGTATTTGCATTTAAAAAATTGCTAAGTTGTTCGTCAGTAGAGTTCTTTCTTCACATTTAATCCACTTTGCTCTTCAGGTTTTAAATCGAGTTTGCTAGCCAGTATTTTTTTCTGTTTTTTTTTTAAATATCGAGATGGTTTGTTAATGAAGTTTGCTTTTCAGTTTTTTTAAATCAATTTTGCTCGTCAGTAGAGTTCTTTATTTTAGTAGAGTTCTTTATTTCAGTAGAGTTCGTTATTTCAGTAGAGTTCCCTTTTTCTTTTTAAAATCTTGTTTGCTCGTCAGTAGAGTTCTTTCTTGCTTCTTAAATCCAATTTGCTTTCTTTCAGCCTTTTTTAAATCATTTTTGTTCTTCAGTAGAGTTTATTTTTTTAGTTTTAAGGTCAAGTTTGCTCGTCAGTAGAGTTCTTTCTTCCTGTTTTTTTAATCTAGCTCATCAGTAAAGATTTTTTTTTTTTTAAATTCATATTTGTCGTCAATAGAGTTCTTTTTTCTGTTTTTTTTTTTTTAATCGAGTTTGCTCGTCAGTAGAGTCTTTTAGAGTTATTTAAATTGGATTTAATTGTCAGCAGTTCTTTCTTTCTGTGAATTTAGTTTGCTCGTCAGTGGAGTTCTTTCTTTCTGTTTTTAAAATCGTTTTTGCTTGTCAGCAGATTTCTACTTGTTTTTCTGTTTTTCGGTATTGCTCGTCAGTATTTTTTTCTATTTTCTAAATCGTTTATGGTCGTCAGTAAAGTTCTATTTTGACCTTTCCAAAATTCTGGTTTAGTCGTCAGTAGAGTTCTTTTTTATATTTTAATTTGCTTGTAAGTAGAGTTCACTCTTTCTATTTTAGGTCGGATTTGCTCGTCAGTAGAGTTCATTTTTTCAGAGTTCTATTTTTTCTTTTTCAAAATCTAGTTTGATCGTCAGTAGTGTTCGTATTTTCTGTTTTGGTTGGCTCGTCAGTAGAGTTCTTTCTTGCTTCTCAAATCCAGTTTGCTCGTCAGTAGAGTTCTTTATTCCTGTTTTTTATGTCTGGTTTGCTCATCAGTAGAGTTCTTTCTTTCGGCTTTCAAATACAGTTTGCTCGTCAGTAGAGTTTACTCTTTCTGTTATTTAAATCGTTTGTGGTCGTCAGTAGAGTTCTATTTTGGCCTTCCCAAAATTCTAGTGTGCTTGTCAGTAGAGTTCTTTCTTTCTATTTTTATGTCTAGTTTGCTTGCCAGTAGAGTACTTTCTTTTTTTCTATTTTATTAAAATCGAGTTTGTGTGTCCTTGTGTTCTTTGTTTCTGTTTTTTAAAATCGAGTTTGCTCGTCAGTAGAGTCCTTCTGTTTTTCCATAATCCAATTTGTTCGTCAGTAGAGTTCTTTCTTTCTGTTTTTAGGTCAAGTTTGCTAATCAGTAGAAATTAATGTCAAGTTTGGCTCACGTACTCAAGCTCGCACACGTCTTACAAAGTTAAGAAAAAAACATCAAGTTACCAAATTGAATTTTGTGACTAAAACATAAACATCTATTCAAAATTTTAATTAATTATCTTAAAGATATCTTATCTTAGGTAATGCTTTGAAAAACTTTGCGACATTCTTTTACTTGGCAGTAGTTGCATTCACAGTTTGCCTCTTAAAAGAAAAACTCGTTCCACTCACTTCTTTCCATAAAGATTTATCTTAAGATGCTCAAATCTTACTTAGTAAATTTACTAACAATAAGCATGGTAAATAAAATAAAGTTTGTCTTAATCTCCTTTTTTAATTGACTGTAATTTTGACACTTTTCCTAAACCTTGCGATTCAAGAAATTCCTGATTCAGTCAAATTCCGTATTTATCAACTTTAGACTAAACTCGTAAGCAAAACGGAGTCATGTGATCGAAGACCTGTCCAAATCTCTTAACATTAGTTAACTTTGGTCAACCATCCAAGAACATTCTATAGAAACAGATATAAAGTGAACAGAAAAGTTTTAGATCTAACTAATTCACCAAATGCCAACCCTTGACACTTTTCTCAAAAACCCACCAACATCTATCAAAAAGTTGTTGATAATAATAATGATAAATTTTACCACTCACCCAGTTATCCAAATTCGCACGTAAATTTCTGCAACCTCACTTCAACTCACAACTCAAATTTCTCTCAACCAAACACAAAGTCCATAAATCTATTCCTTCCCTCGTTTTAAATTTTCATTCCCAGTAGTCCGTCGCCGCGGTATAAAACAAAAGTTTTGTACATCAGATTTTGGTTTAATTCCGTTTTTGGAAAAAGTCGAAATGAACTTCAAATGTATATTATAATCACCAAAATTTTACGACCAACTTGTATCAAATAAAAAACAATCAGCGTCTATTTTTTTTCAAACAAAATCCAAAATGTGGCGGCGCGCGGTGGCTCTGGCGCGATGGGGCCTCGTCGGGAAATTTCAGGCGGCGAGAGGCTTCCGAGTGAGCACTGTGAGGAGAGAATGCGGGGGCACGGCCAGAGTCAGATACATCAGGGCTCTGAGGGCTGCTGAGGAGGCCTATAGGTGAGATTGACAGGAGACATAGCCTACTAAAACCATGTATGGGCATAAACGATGTATGACTGATTTTTTTTAAATTTAAGACCAAGGACCGTAGACCTTATACTAAATGAACAGCTAGTCGAGCGCAAATATAAAAGGGGATTATGACGTTGCTGTGTGAACAAGCGTTGCCGACAATCGTGGAATACTCTCAATTGATTAAATGTCATATGCATAGACTGATTTTGAGGTGGCTTCGATTTTAATATTACTAATTTTAAAATTCTAACAAAATTATCAGTCCACACAATTGCCATTGAATTAAATTAACAATTATGACGTATAATGCAAATTTATTTTGTGACATATAACGTTAAATCAATGGAGAGTGTTTCATGATTGTCGGCAATGTTGTGACGTCACAGTACTCTTTTATCTTTTTACACTTGTATGTCCTAAGTGTGCGACCAATTATTTATTTAATCTTTCCAGGATTTATTATTCAGTCAAATATTTTAGTTTATTCATCATAAGTAGTCTGTTTCTTTTTTCAAGTTGAAGTGCATTTTGCATGTTAGTAGAGTCCCCTTTCCTTCATTCTTGAATCGAGTTCGCTCGTCAGTAGAGTTCTTTCTTTGTTCCAGTTTTTTTTTTTAAATTGAGTTTGCTCGTCAATACAATTCTTTCTTTCCATTTTTTTAATTAAAGTTTACTCGGTAGTATAGTTTGTTTCATTTTTTTAATTCGAGTTTGCTCGTCAATAGAGTTCTTTTTTCTGTTTTTAAACCGAGTTTGCTCGTCAGTGGAGTTCTTTCTTCCTGTTTTTTTTTAAATTGAGTTTGCTCGTCGGTATACAGTTCTTTTTCATGCTTTTTGTAAATCGAGTTTGCTCGTCAGTAGAGTTCTTTCTGTCTGATTTTTAAATTGAGTTTGCTTTTTAGTAGAGTTCTTTCTTTTCATTTTTTCAATTGAAGACTCGTCAGTAGAGTTCCTTCTTTTTTCTATTCTAATTTGCTCGTCAGTTGAGTTCTTTGTTTCTGTTTCTTTAATTCGAGTTTGCTTGTCAGTAAAGTTCCTTCTTTCTTCCTGTTTTTTTAATTGAGTTTGCTCGTCAGTAGAGTTCTTTCTTTCTGATTTTTCAATTGCAGTTTACTCGTCAGTACAGTTTGTATCATGTTTTTTTTTAATTCGAGTTTGCTCGTCAGTACGGTTCTTTTTTAAATCAGGTTTGCTCGTCAGTAGAGTTCTTTCTTTCCATTTTTTAAATTCAAGTTTGCTCGTCAGTAGAGTTCTTTCTTAGTTTTTTTTTTTATTTTAGTTTGCTCGTCAGTTGAGTTCTTTCTTTCCGTTTTTTTAAATTCGAGTTTGCTCGTCAGTAGAGTTCCTATTTTCTTCCTGTTTTTTTTTTTTTTAAATCGACTTTGCTCCTCAGTAGAGTTCTTTCTTTCTGTTTCTTTAATTCGAGTTTGCTTGTCAGTAGAGTTCCTATTTTCTTCCCGTTTTTTTTTTAAATCGACTTTGCTCGTCAGTAGAGTTCTTTTTTTCTGTTTTTTTTTTTAAATTGAGTTTTCCCGTTAGTAGAGTTTTTTCTTTTTTTCTGTTTTTTTTTAAATCGAGTTTGCTTCTATATTTTTGTTAAAAATAGATTTTGCTCGCCAGTAGAGTTCTTTCTTTATTTTTAATCGTAAGTAGAGTTCTTTCTTTCTGTTTTTTTTTGTGAGTCCAGGTTGCTTGTCAGTAGAGTTCTTTATTTCTGCTTTTAAAATCAAATCCGCTCGTTAGTAGACTTTTTCCTTTCGTTTTTTTTTTTTAAATTTCCAAAACAATTCTACACTTTTCTACTAATTATGAAGAAATGACTTTGGCGGATAGTTACGCAAAACTAAATCAGCGCAAGTCTTTATCGAGTTAGACTTTGGTACAACCGTTCTTGAAAAAACGCACTTTATCCAATCTTAATGTCAAACGATTCAGAATGACTTGAAACATCGAGAAAACAAAAAATTAGCAAATCGAATTTTATCGCAAACACCAACTTTTCCTTTGAGAACTTAAAAAATATACAAAATATAATGCATAAATTTTGGCAATAACTAGATAAAATATATATTTGGCCTTAACCCTAGAATGGTATTGTGCTTAATAAGTGATTTTTTTACGTCTTTTGTCATAGTGTACTTTGTGATATCATAAAAAGTTATTTCAGAAGATATAAAACTCTGGTTTAGTAACAAATCGTCTTTTTATTTTTTCAAAATTTCCATAACAAACACCATTTATTCTCGACTGCATGTACGCCTCGGAGGCGTGCAGATACCGTTCTAGGGTAAAGGCAAGTTGCATAAGGCATCAAGAGATCAATATATTAATTTATAAGTATACCGAGTTGCTATAAAGCATTATAATATAAGAAACTCTGATGTCTTTTATCTATTTCCTTTAGTATCAAGAACAAACGACTAGGAAGACCATTGTCGCCCGCCTTGAGCATCTACAAAAAACAGCTGACCACCGTCTTGTCCATCACGAACCGCCTGTCCGCCATCTACCTGTCTACGCAGCTGGCCGCCGCCGGATTGGCCTGCCTTTGGGCTTGCAGAAAAAAGGCCAAATTTGAAGACTTAATGCAAAGAATCGAAAGTAAGGGAATAAAATAGACACTTTGAAAAATGACATATCTGAATTGTAAGGTTGTAGTACAAGCAGTACGCCCTGAAGAGCTCTTTCAAAATAGTAATCCATTGGGACTCATTTTATTCCTATACTGATTTGACATTAATTGGTAAAATCTTTTTTAATTCAAAATATTGTTAGAAGACCTATCGATTTTAGTATTTGTTGTCATAAAAGACATTTTGGAAAACAACATATCTGAATTACAAGGTTGTAGTACAAGTAGTGCGTCCTGTAGAGCTCTTTGAAAATAGTAATCCACTGAGAGTCATTTCACCTGTATACTCATATATGACATTCTTAGGTAAAATATTTCTTAAATCAAAAAGTTGTTAGAAAACCTATCGATTTTGGTATTTGTTGTCATAATAGACACTTTGAAGAATAACATATCGGAACTACAAGGTTGTAGTACAAACAGGACGTCCTGTAGAACTTTTTGAAAATATTAATCCACTGAGAATTATTTCATCACGCTATATGTTCGTATTGATAAAGTATTTTTTAATTCAAAATTTTGTTAGAAAACTTATCGATTTTAGTATTTGTTGTCATAATAGAAACTTTGAGGTATGACGTCACAAAATTAAAAGGTTGTAATAGAAACAATGCGTCCTGTAGAGCTCTTTGAAAATAGTAATCCACTGAGAGTTATTCCATCGCCCCATATGCTCATATATGACATTCATAGGTAAAATATTTTTTAGTTCAAAATATTGTTAGAAAACCTATCGATTTTAGAATTTTGAATCATAATAGACACTTTGAGGTATGATATCACAAAATTAAGAGGTTGTATTAGGAACGATGCATCCTGTAGAGCTCTTTGAAAATAGTAATCCACTGAAAGACATTTCACCCGTATACTCATATATGACATTCTTAGGTAAAATATTTTTTACTTTGAAATATTGTTAGAAAACCTGTCGATTTTGGTATTTGTTGTCATAATAGACACTTTGAAGAATACTACATTTCAATTGCAAGATTTTAGTACAAGCGGTACGTCCGGTAGAGCTCTTTGAAAATAGTAATCCACTGAGAGTAATTCCACCCGTATACTCATAAATGTCATTCATAAGTATAATGTATTTTAATTCAAAAAGTTGTTAGAAAACCTATCGATTTTAGTATTTGTTGTCATAATAGACACTTTGAAGAATAACATATCGGAATTGCAAGATTGTAGTGCATGTGGTTCGTCCTGTAGAGCTCCTTGAAATTAGCAATCTTTAGAGAGGCATTTCGCCCACTGATTTAATCAGCTATAACTATATATAAATATCATTTATAGATAAAATCATTTTTAATTTAAAAAGTTGTGGGAAGACCTATCGATTTTAGTATTTGTTGTCATAATAGACATGTTGAAGAATAACATATCTGAATTACAAGGTTTTAGTGCAAGTGGTGCATCCTGCAGAGCTCTTTGAAAATATTAATCGACTAAGAGTCACTTCACTCATATACTCATCATACATGGCATTCTTAGATAAAATATATTTTAAATAAAAAAGTTGTTAGAAAACATATCGATTTTAGTATTTGTTGTCATAATAGACACTTTCAGGTATTATGTCACAAAATTACAAGATTGTGGTATAAACGGTACGTCCTGCAGAGTTCTTTGAAAATATTAATCTACTAAGAGTCATTTTACTCGTATATTCATATATGACATTTATAGGTAAAATCCTTTTCAAATCAAAAAGTTGTTAGAAAACATATCGATTTTAGTATTTGTTATCATAATAAACACTTTGAAAAATAAAATATATAAATTTCAAGGTTCTAATGCAACTGGTTCGACCTGTACCCGTAGAGCTCTTTGAAAATAGTAATCCAATGAGAGATATATATTTTTAATACACTGACACCCATATATTTATATATGATAGTTATATGTAAAATCATTATTCAATCAAAATTTTGTCAGAAAATCTATCGATTTTTGTATTTGTTGTCATAATAGACACTTTGAAGAATGACATACCTAAATTACAAGATTTTACCACAGGCAGTGCGTCCTGTATAGCTCTTTGAAAATAATTATTCTCTGAGAGTCATTTCACCCGAATACTCATATATGACATTCTTGGGTTTGGATACAGAGCTAAATGTTAAAAAAATAGCAGTTTTTGAGAGAACTAAGCGTCCGATTTAAGTGATTCAAATAACTTTCTGCTTGTTTCAACAAAATAATTGCTTTTGGAAAAAAATTGTTTCTAATTTTTTTTTTCAAAAAATATTTTTGTAATTTTGGATCAAAAATTCAAAAAATTGCCCAGGCTAAGCACAGTCTAAGCGCCATTCTGGTACAAATGTTTACCCAGGTGCGCTTAAACTGTTTATGTACTGGAGCACTTTTCCAATTTTGAAAGAAAACTATTGAAAAATGTGAAAATGCCGCCAAGCTAAGCACAGTATAAGTGAGAATATCGTACAGAATTATTTGCAAATGCGTTTAGACTGTGACTGTACGGGAGCACTTTTTCAAATTTGTGCAAATTAGGAAACTATTTTTTTTTTAAATTGAATGCGAAATGAAATGACGTTTGTTAATGTTCTAGAGATAAATTGATTTATGATTTATGATTTACATTTGATTTGCTCAGATATAACAAAGATAGCAAAAATAATGAAACAATTACAGTATTTGTAATAATATATTTGAAAACGTTTGAAATTTCTCGAATATTTCATTACGGCACGGGATGTTCCAGCAATTTGCCTTAAGGCACGATGCCATACACCACTAGTTATTTTTTCTATTCTTTTAGGTTGGAAATTGGAGAACACCGGTATATACGCCATGAAACTGATGCTGGTCCTTCCCTTCGTCTATCACATGTGCCTAGGAATTCGACATCTATTATGGGACAGTGGAAGATTTTTAACAATCCCTCAAGTTTACAGAACAGGCTATGTGGCCCTTTTGGCCTTCGTCCTGATTTCTTTAGCCCTTGCAGGATACGGAATTCGCAAACAGCAACCGCCGCCGAATAAAAGACCAAGGATGTAGTAATTGATTGATTGTTGTTTTTTACAAGTTGTTTTTTATATAATATTTTTTGGATTTTTTTTAGATTTTTGTTGTATGTTTTGTATTAGCACTCTTTTGTGGTTTTTAAATAATAAAATTTGGTTCACAAGTAATATAAAAGTACTATTAACTTCCCGTAAGGTAAGTTATAGTAATCGCAAAAAAATCGAAAATGAACATTTTTATGTATTTTTACGTTTCAGAGGTTTCTGAACATTTTGGCATACCTTATAAAATTTGTATGTGTGTGTCTCTGTGTGTGCGGATACAAATTTTCCTCGACGATTTCGCGAACACTGAACAACCGATTTGAATGATTAAAAAAACATTAAAAAACAAAAATGATTAAAAAATTTTTGAGAAAAGTATAAGTAGTAAAAGTAAAAGTAGTAGTAAAAATAATTCCAACAAAAACAAATTTTTGATTATTTCAAATTTCTAAATACTTTTATCATGATTTAAAATATTCAACCAAAATAAAAAAAATCATTTCACGGTTTTTTGAAAAATATCGAATTTACTAGTTCTAAAAATCACAAAACTTAAGTTTCAAAATGTTGAAACAAAATCCAAGTAAACCACATTTTTGTTTTTTTTTTTAATTTCCGTTTTTTTTCAAAATTTGGAAAAACTTTCGATTTAAAAAAAAATGAAATTGTTATAAGAAATTGTTAAAAGAAAGAAAAATTTCATTATTTTTGAAATTAAAAAAATATCGAAAATGAGTATCGATTTTATTAATGTTAAAAAATAAATAAAATAGTTCTAAAAATTTTGAAAAAAAATCCAATATAAACAAATACTTGTTTTTTTTTTGAAATTCTATTTTTTTTAAAATAATACAACTGATTTGAATATTAAAAAAAACATTCGATTGCCACTGATAAAGAGACGTGCTGATTAGTTTTTGCCAAAGGCAGGCCTAGCCGTTTTGGTGACACGAAGCAAAAAGTGCCAAAAATGGGAATTTAGTTTTTGAGATAACGGAGTGTCCGATTTGAATGATTCAAAAATCATTTTACTTGTATTGACGGTATAGAGAAATGATAATTTTTTGAGGAAAGTATAGACAAGTGTTGAAAAAAATCCAACAAAGACAAATTTTTTATTTTTTTAAATTTTCGTGTTTTTTTAAATTTTCAAGAGCGTTCAATATAGTTTAAAATATTCAACCGAAGTTTTTAAAAAATCTCAACATTCTCAAAATAATTTTTTTTTAAATATCGAATTCATAAATTTTTTGAAAGATATATAAGGTTGTTTCCTAGTCCTAAAAATTTCAGACTTTCTCAAGTTTCAAAATACTGAAACAAAATCCCAAAAAAAATAAAATTTTAAATTTCTCAAATTTCCGTTTTTTTTCAAAATTTGGAAAAACTTTCAATTTAAAAAAGAAAATAGTTTTTATAAGAAATCTAAAAAATTTCAATATTTTTAAAATTAAAAAATATCGGAAATGAAAATCGGTTTTATTAAAATTTTTAAAAATAAATAAAATAGTTCTAAAAATTACAATTGTTCAGTAATTCTTATGAAGTTTTAAAATTTTGAAAACATTGAAAAAACATCTTTAAATTTCCATTTTTTTAAAATTAATTGAAAGCTTTTAAAAAACTTCAAATTTGGAAAAAAATCATTTTTTAAAAATGTATAAAATGATTATAGAAAATATTAAAATTTTGAAAAATGTAAGAAGTTGTCTTAAAAATTACAATATTTCAGAAATTCATAAGTTTTGAAATGTTGTGAAAAATTCCAACTGTAACAAATATTTGATTTTCATAAATTTCCGATATTTTTCAGAATTTGGAAACATTTTCAACTTAAAAAAATTCAAGGTTTTTAAGAAATGTAAAAGATGTCGATTTTATTGAAATTTTGAAAAATGTATAAAGTTGTTCCAAAAATTACAATATTTCATACATTCTTTTAAAAACATTGGAAAGTATTCCAACCAAAACAAATGATTGATTTTCTTAATTATCCGATTTTTTTCAGAATTCTCACAAACTTTGAATTTAAAAAAAAATCAATCAAACTTTTTAAAAAATTTCAAACATTTCAAACTTTTCAAAATTAAAAAATATCAAAAATAAATATCGCATTAGTTAAATTTTTAAAAAATAAATAAATTCTTAAGTTTTGAAATGTTGTGAAAAAAACAAAGAAAACAAATTTTTGATTTTTTCAAATTTCAGATTTTTTAAAAACCAAAATAATATGAAGGTCGTCGCCTAAACATAAACATTTATGTTAGATCTTTAAAATAAGAATGATGAAATTTATTGATCAATTTTTATTTGATTATTAATTATTTTTTTATTAACCTCAAATATTTAATTACAAATCAGGAAGTTCCAGCAATTTGTCTTAAGATCATATATCATTTTTAAATTCCAACGGTTTTTCAACTTTCCTTTATTGCGCAAGTGTTGCCCGATTCCTCCTAACGCCAACTTCAGACCGCGACTAAAATGACAGCAACTTGACAGTTGTTGACAGTTCTCGTAATGACTTTGCTTTGTAAAATACATTATAACTAAAAATGTTTATAAAACCGTCAAATCAATCGATATAAAACCAGAAAAGTAACTTGTGAAATAACAAAACGTGTCTATTCAAATCAAATAAATGTCAGGTATAATTCATGATAAGTGAAAAAATCAAATCCGCACGTCATCGGATTGAAACTGGATCTTTACATGTTTTTTCAACTTGTATAAATAATTATGCAACCTCCACGTTCTAACATACCGCCCCCTCGACCTTCGCAAAGCCCCTCAAGGCACCCAAATATGATGAATAATGAACCTTCTGGTCGGCCTGGGGGCGGAACAGGCTCCGGTTTGTTTTCTTCTATTAAAGGAGGCGCCGGGAGTTTTCTAAAAAACTTAAAAGATACTTCTTCTAAAGTGATGCAATCTGTACAACAAACTATTGCCAGGAATGATTTGGATATTACTTATGTCACCAGCAGGATTATTGTCATGCCGTGTCCTTCAGAAGGCTTGGAAAGTGCTTACAAAACCAATAGTATCGAGGATGTTAAGATATTTTTTGAGACTCGACATCAGCCTAATACGATAAGTGTGTATAATCTAGGTCCAAGAGGTACCCCACGTCTAGCACCTCCTGTACGGGTAATAGAAGCAGGCTTCTCGCACTCACATGGATCACCTTGTGTGTCTGATTTAGCACATTTGTATTCGGTAAGTGAGGATATGTACGGGTTTTTAAGACACGATGAGAAACATATTATAATAATACAATGTCCTGATGGTAAATCTATTTCATCAACGTTTTTCTGCGCTTTGTTGCTTTATGCAGGGCTTGTGTCGGTTCCTGAAGATGCTCTGCAAATGTTTGCAGTAAAACGTATGCCACCTAATATGCAACCATCACAATTACGTTATTTATATTATTTAAGTGAAGTTATAAGCCCTGCACCTGTTATTCCGCATCATAAACCGGTAACTTTAGTTTCTGTGAACATATGTCCGATACCCAGGTCTACTAAACACCGAGACGGTATCAGACCTTTTATAGAAGTCACTTGTAACGACCAAGTTATATTAAGTACTTTACAAGATTATGATAAAATGAGATTGTATTCTCATACCGAAGGTAGGGCTTCGATACAATTAAATGTAACTGTTTGTGGAGACATCACAATAACACTTTTACACGCCCGGAACAGTCTTGGTGGTATGGGGCGTCCTAATGGGGTTAAAGTATGTCAATTACAACTGCATACTGGTTTTATATCAGAAGAAGAAACGAATTTAAAGTTTAGTAAATCAGATTTGGATTATTTAGCAGATGGTGGGTCTGGTGAAATTGTGCCAAATGGTTTTTGTCTTGCCTTAAGTGTATTTGTAGGTGATAGTGAAAGACCACCAACTCGTAATCCACCCTGGACGAGCACAAAAGCACCAAGGGATTCAACAGTTTTATTCGGGTCGCAATTGGAATGTGAAGAAACCGTTGATAATTTTGTTTCTAAACCTGCACCACCAAGGCCAGCGCCACCAGCTATGAAACCTGTACGACCAGCTCCACCAAGACCCGTTACACCAAATTTGTCCAGAAACAGCACTCCTGAACCACCCAAAGAAGCCGTATCAGATTTACTGAATCTTAACCAAAACGATGTACAACATACACAAGACAATGTAGTTGTTGAAGAAAACGTGGACTTTTTGGGACTAGGAAATGATTTGAACGAATCTTTTACCCCCTTGAACGACATATTAGGAGAACCAAACACCAAACAAAACACATTTGACTTTTTAGCTGGTGATACGTTCAACAATCAACCATCAAATGGACAAAGCAACACTTTCGATCCATTCGGTTTCGGGGACTCTGCCAATGATACTGAATTGCTTAAGCCAAAAATAACTAAAGAATCTAGTCCAATCGAACAGCAACAACAAGCAAAACGAGAAACAGAAAACTAAAGATCCTTTTGCAGATTTGGGTAATTTATCTGCAGGATTGAATACGTCCTGGGGGAGTGCACAGTCTGCTGGAACTAGCCCTAGATCTACTCAATTTTCGAGTCCTTCTCATCACAATCAGACACCGGGAGGCAGATCACCACATAATGCACCTACTACACCTGTACGGAGCCCTAGAGATGGAACAGGTAATAATAGTAATATATAATTGTAATAAAAGTAACTTATTGTAAGTAACAGTAAAAATATTGTACAAGTATAACAAAGAATCTTACACTCTTAACTTGCTAAAGAAAAAGTTTATGTAGTTGCCAGAAGATCAAATTTGTTGTTTTTAGTTTTGTTTTCTTTACATTTTAAATCATTCTGAATCGTTTGACACCAAATTGGTAAAAATGTATATGTCATAGTCAAAATTTTACGTTTTTTCAAAGAGCTGTACAGGACGCACGGTTTATACTAAAACCTTGTAACTTAAATATATTATTCTTTAAAGTATCTTTTATGATAACAAATACTAAAATCGATAACTTTTTAAACAAAATTTTGTATTAAAAAATATTTCATCTATAAATGTCTTATATATAAAGCTTATATATAAATATTTTATTTATAGTTGTCTTATATGTAATGTTTGCTTATAAACGACCAAATCAATAGGCAAAATGCCTGTATGAATTTTTATATTTTCAAAGAGCTCTACAGAACGTACCGTTTGCACTACAATTTTGAAATTTAAATATATTATTCTTTAAAGTTTCTATTGTGAAAACAAATACTAAAATTGATAGGTTTTCTAACACCTTTTAGAATTAAAAAATATTTTATCTATAAGTGTTACTTATATGTAAAATGTATTTATAAATGATACAATCAATGAGCTAAATGCCTCTAGGAAGACTAATATTTTCAAAGAGCTCTACAGGACGTACCGCTTGTACTACAACCTTGAAATTTATTTATGTTATTCTTCAAAGTGTCTATTATGATAACAAATACTAAAATTAATAAGTTTTTTAACAAAATTTTGACTTAAAAAATATTTTATCTGTAAATGTCTTATATGTAAAGTTTGCTTATAAACAATGAAATCAATGGGCGACATGCCTCTAGGAAGATTAATATTTTCAAAGAGCTCTTCAGGACGTACCGCTTATACTACAACCTTGCAATTCATATATTTTATTCTTCAAAGAGTCTATTATGAGAACAAATACTAAAATTAATAAGTTTTTTAACAAAATTTTGATTTAAAAAATATTTTTTCTATAGGTTTTACTTATATGTAAAGTTTAATTATAAATGATAAACTCAATAGGCAAAATGCCTCTAGGAAGATTAATAATTTCAAAGAGCTCTACAGGATGCACTGTTCGCTCTACAAACATGTAATTCAGATGTTATACCTCAAAGTGTCTATTATGACGACAAATACTAAAATCGATAGATTTTCTAACATATTTTTGAATTAATAAATATTTTATCTACAGATGTAAAGGATTGTTAGGGTGAAATAACTCTCAGAAGATTAATAATTTCAAAAAACTCTACAGGACGCACCGTTCGCTCTACAAACTTGTAATTAAGATATATTATACTTTAAAATATCTATTATAAGATAAAACTTAAAAATTGATAGGTTTTCTAACAATATTTTGTTACAAAAGCGATTTTATAAATAAATGCAAAGTATGGATAGAATGACTGATGATTAAAATTTTCAAAGAGCTCTACAGGACGCACCGCTTGTACTACATTTTTGTAATTTGAATATATTATTCTTCAAAGTGTCTATTATGACAAGAAATACTACAACTGATAGGTTTTCCAACAATATTTTGAATTAAAAAATATTTTATCCAAGAATATCATATATGAGTATATGGGTGAAAAGCTACTTAGTGGATTAATATTTTCAAAGAGCTCTACATGACACACCGTTTGTACTACAACTTTGTAATTCAGTCATGTTTTTCTTAAACGTGTCTATTATGACAAGAAATACTAAAATTAAAAGATTTTCTAACAACTTTTTGAATTACAAATGATTTGATTGAAAATCTCTTGTTCCAACTAGTTTTTGTAATATAAAATAAAAATTCTTTTATCATTAATCAAATTGTATTATGTTAGTCACGATAAGCATAAAATAATATCATGTTAAGGCTCATGACTCATTTTTATAACATTTATATCCATTTCAAAATATTTTTCAAACAAAACTAGTTTCACAAATAAAATTACCTGATAACGAAATTGTATAAACATTGGTATGTTATTAAAATATATATAAGTCGATTATTCGTAGCACCTATAATGAAAGTAGGATTTGATTACTAAACAGTGATTAGAATAATGAGTTATTGTTTTAAGAAAAAGAAATTTATATTAAGTCACGAAACTCAAACCCGATTGATGAAAATAAGATCGATAATAAATGAAAATATCAATCCACTGAATCATTTCATCAATATACTCAAATATGACATTCTTAGGTAAAATATTTTTAAAATTAAAAGTTGTCAGAAAACTTATTGATTTTAGTATTTGTTGTCATAATAGACATTTTAAAGAATGATATATCTAACTTACAAGGTTGTAGTATAAGCGGTACATCCTGAAAGCTCTTTGAAAATAATAAACCACTGAGAGTTATTTCACCCATATATACATTCGTAGGTAAAATATATTTTAATTCGAAAAGTTGTTAGAAAATCTTTCGATTTTAATATTTGTGGTCAAAATAGACACTTTGAGGGATGGCATATCTAAATTACAAGGATTGTAGTACAAATAAGAGCTCTTTGAAAATTCAATTTTTCCGAGAGACATTTTACCTATATACCATCCCATATATAAGACTTTTAGGTAAAATATTTTTTAGTTCAAAAAGTTGTTAGAAAACTTATTGATTTAAGTATTTGTTGTCAAAATAGACACTTTGAAGAATAATATATCTAAATTTCAAAGTTATAGTACAAGCGGTACGTCCTGAAGAGCTCTTTGAAAATTTTAATCCACTAAGATTCATTTCACCTATATACTCATATATGACATTTTTGGGCAAAATATTTTTTAATTCAAAATATTGTTAGAAAACTTATTGATTTTAGTATTTGCTGTCATAATAAACACTATGAAGAATAATGTATCTAAATTACAAGGTTGTTGTACAAGCGGTACGTCCTGTAGAGCTCTCTGAAAAACTTAATTCACTGAGAGTCATTTCACCCATATACTCACATTTATAGGTAGAATATTTTTTAAATCAAAATATTGTTAGAAAACCTATTGATTTTAGTATGTGTTGTCAAAATAGACACTTTAAAGAATGGCATATCCGAATTACAATATTGTGGTACAAGCGGTGCGTCCTGCAGAGCTCTTTGAAAATATTAATCCTCGAAAATGATATTACATTGAAAGTTATTTCACCCATATATAACATTCATGGGTAAAATCTTTCTTAATTTGTTAGAAAATCTATGGATTTTAGTATCTGTTGTCATAATGGACACTTTGAAGAATAAAATATCTGAATTACAAGGCTATAGTACAAGCGGTGCGTCCTGTAGAGCTAGCTCTCTAAAAAGATTAATCCACCGAGAGTTAATTCAACCATAAATTATCGTTCATAATCACACCTCACACATAACATCGATCGGTAAAATCATTTTTAATTCAAAATATTGTTAGTAAACCTATCGGTTTTAGTATTTGTTGTCATAATAGACACTTTGAAGAATAACATATCTGAATTACAAGATTGTAGTACAAACGGTGCGTCCTGAAGAGCTCATCAAAATTCCATTTGCTAGTACCAAAATAGCGTAGCACCAATTCAGAACGACCCAAGAAAATCTACAATAAGCAAAACGTATTTTCTGGCAAAAACTCAAACTTTTCTTTTACCTTTACCAACTTATCAATTTCCTTGCAGGACCAGACTACAGTCGTTCCCACTTCGAAACAGTGTCACCAAACCAGCAACAAAGTGGCGGTAACTGCAAACCAAAACCGACATCCACCGACGTCTTCGGGGATCTTCTAGGCTCCCAAGGCTACACTTTCACAGCCCAAAAAACCCAAAACACTCCTCGAACCATAAACGACATGAGAAAAGAAGAACTAGTACGGGAATTAGATCCTGAACGTCTAAAAATCCTTGAATGGACTGAAGGAAAAACCGGGAACATCCGAGCTTTACTCTGTTCCCTGCACACAGTCGTCTGGGAGGGTTGTAGATGGACAAAATGCGAAATGCATACCCTGGTTTCTGCAGGAGATGTAAGAAAAGCTTACAGAAAAGCCTGCCTGGCAGTTCATCCTGATAAGCAGATGGGCACGGATAATGAGAATATTGCTAAGTTGATTTTTATGGAGCTGAATAATGCTTGGAGCGATTTTGAAAATGATTCTGCGCAACAGAACATGTTCGGCAGTTAAGGGATGTAAGAGATTGATAAGGGGTTCGATGTGTGAAATCAGATTGTTATGTATTTAACAATAATTGTTAATTATTATGATAATGAATATAGATTATATGTTGAGTATTGAGATGGAAGTTACTTTAATACTTATTAGGTTTGCTTCGATATTGTAGCTTCATGTATATTTTTTTACTTTGTGTTATATATATATATATATATATATATATTAGGGTGGTCCTTAATACGGACATTTTTGGAATTTCCTTGCTCCCAAAGGCTCAAATGGTTCCAAATTGATAAAAAACAATTCTCTGAAAGTTTTAGCTCTTAATAATAACATTTAGATAGTCCGCAATGCAATTAAAAGTTTCGTATATTCATTATTAAGTAAATTCTTGCGCCATCTGTGATAGCATTTGTGCACTCAAATATTATGCCACTTATAACACTTAACCTCTAATTACCATGACAAAACAAGAAATTATTTTTAACTCCTCGTAGGGTAAGTTACAGTAATTGTCTAAAAATCGAAAACGAATTTTTTTTGCATATCTTTACGTTTCAGAGGTTTCTGAACATATTGGCATACCTTAGAAAAAAATTAATGTGTGTGTGTAAATGTATGTATGTGTACAATTTTCCTTCCACGTGGATTTGAATTATGTAAAATGAAAAAAAAACATTCGATTCCAAGACGTGCTGATTAGTTTTTGTCAAAGGCAGGTTCAGCCGTTTTGGAGATACAGAACAAAGAATGCAGGAAATGGCAATTAAGTTTTTGGGAGAAGACGGCATCCGATTTACATGATTCAAAAAAATATTTTATTTATATTGACGGTATGAAAAATTAATTAAATTTTTGCAAAGGTAGAATCAGCAGTTTCGGAGATCCAGAAAAAAATTTAGAAAATGCCATTTGTCGGTCGAAAATCAGACATGGAACACCCGACATGAATGGGTATCATAAACTTTCGAGAAATTTCAAAACTTTCAAAAAAATTCTAGTTTTCAAGAAATATCAGTATTTTCAAAATGTATCAATTTTTTTTTAAAAAAAATTGTGATTTTCAAAAAGTAATTAAATCCATGTGGGCTGTTTAACGAAATATTTATTCATCATGGCATCAAAATTATAATTTTGCAAAAAAATATTTATTTAATTGGTGATTTTGACACTCAAAATATCAGTAATAAATTGCCATCAATGTTACAAGTCTGCTTTCCCAGATAGCGCAAGAATTTACTTAATAATGAATATACGAAACTTTTAATTGAATTGCGCACTATCTAAATGTTAATATTGAGAGCTAAAACTTTTAGAGGATTTTTTTCTATTAATTTTTAAGCGTTTGAGCCTTTTGGAAGCACGGAAATTCGAAAATGTCCGTATTAAGGACCACCCTATATATTTGTATGATTCTGAATTTAATATTGACATATGTATTAACAAAGTCTAATAATTAGGCATTATGAAAAAAACATTTTTTTAAAAAAATTAGTTATTATTTTACTTCCATACGTTCCGACTATAATCCTAGCCTTCATTCAGTGGAAAAATTGTTATTTTAGTTTTAAATACAGAAAATTCAGAAATTAATGGTATTAAACATTAAACTTGTAATTAAAACAACATTTCACAATTATGCTAACACTAAATTATCATAAAGTAGTAAGAGTGCAATATATGTATTATTTGTAAAAAATAGTTAGAGACTTAAATTATGTTTTTGTGTATTTAACACTAAAATATTTTTTTTTTCATTGAATGAAGTCTAGGATTAGAGTCGAAACGTATGGATATAAAATAAAATCTTTAAAACATTCTTTTTTTCATTGATGCCCGATTATTAGACTGTTAATATGCGTAGTTCTTAATATGGATATTTTCGAATTTCTTCGCTCCCAAGAGCTCAAATGGTTCCAAATCGATAAAAAACAAATCTCTGAAAGTTTTAGCTCTTAATATTAACTTTTAGATAGTCCGCAATTCAATCAAAGTTTCTTATAAAAATAACATGGGTGAAATTCCATTTGTTTCTTAAAATTTTATAACTTAGCGACAAGTGCATCAAAATTTTGAGAATAACATTGTATTTGCTTATTTTGATCATACAACAAAAATTTGATAATTTTATAAAATAAGTATTAACCGAGAAACTTTGGCCGGAGTGCGGACTATCTTAAAGTCAATATTAAGAGCTAAAACTTCCAGAGAATTTTCTTTTATCAATTTGGAAGCGTTTGAGCCCTTGGGAGTAAAGACATTTCGAAAATATTCATATTAAGGACCACCCTAATATATATATGCGATGTAAAAATGAGAATGTAAAGATTTGTTTGACATATTTATTATTCCTCATTCTTTATTTAGTCATCATCAGTCAATACAAAATTTTTTATATAATTTTTTTTGAAGAAGCATAGAAATCAGAAAGTCTTTTTACTGAAATTTTAATTATTTTGTAAAAATTGTTACATTTCAATACTATATTGTGTCAGATTATTGTCTGAAAAATTCATATCGACTGACGATAACATAGAATTTTACGTCGAAACGTATGGAATAATAAAGATGTATTATTATTAAATATATGCCATTAGAGCATCACTTGGTTCTAAGAGCCATTTCAAGAAACTTTGTCGAAGAAACCATAGCTCGGCAGTAAATTTCGACACAAAAATTATTTTTCATTCCCTATTAACTTATGAGAATTTTATATTTACTCGTCTTATAAAACTTTGCACGGTTATAGAGTTGATAATTAAGGCAAATACCTTGAAATATTATAGGCCTGTGAGAAAAATGATCTTGTTCATAAGACCACTACCAAAACTTGTCCTTAACCATAGATAAACAAGTATAACTAGATGGAAAACACGGCCGCTTTGAAATTACATCAATTTTAATTCTTTCAGTACATCATAGAGGTCGCCACCAACCGTAGCACGTAAATTTACCCTTAGGTTCAATTCTAGGATAAGATTCATATAAATATATACTAAAGAAAAGATGAACCTGATAAATTTGACTAAATGGAATGAGAACAAAATATACGCGTTTGAAATATATTTTCAACAAATCACAAATATGTTGTAAGAAAATATAATAAGAAAATTTCGTTGAAGAAAGATATATTTCAATATATGAAATTGGTACTTGAACGTTTAAAGTACGTGTACTATATCTAGGGAAAATGTGTCTTAAAACAAACGCTGAATTTGAAGCACACTAGCGCCATCTGTGATATGCTGAAAACACTAATACAGAGTAAAGCATTTGTTCTAAGTTTACTTTCTCTTTCAAATAACTCTTCATAGATTTACAATATTTTCAAGAGTTCATTTGGACAATAAAAGATTTTTTTACATGTTGTATTTCAATTATGGAATTTCACTTTTGAGTTTCTTCGCCAAAATTTCTTGAAATGACCCATAGTTCTATAAACGAGAAGTGCCCTAATGGCTTTATATATATTTTTGCATTGAAGCTCTTATCAACAAATAAAATTGTTTTGTCTCTAGTGTTATTGAAAAGATATTTTTGAATGCAAATTTGTTTTAGAGCCGTAGTGCTTCGAACTATAAATTGTTTTAATAGTGCATAGCATAATAAAATATAATTATTAAATACTGATTATTTTAATACTTATGCTTTACTTAAAAATTTGTACAAGTATCAATACTTTAAATAATTTTGTAATTGTGTTACTGAATCAAATCATTACTATGAAGATATTGGTTTATACATAATTCAGGGCGGTCCTTAATATGGACATGTTCGAATTTCTTTGCTCCCAAGGGCTCAAATGCTTCCAAAATAATAAAAAACAATTCTCTGAAAATTCTAGCTCTTAATATTAACATTTGGATGGTCCGCAATTCAATTAAAAGTTTATTAAGTAAATTCTTGCGCCATTTGTGAACTCAAATATAATGACACTTAAAAATATTTATAAAACTATTAACAAAATTAATTTTCCAGCAAAATATTTATTTAATTGGTGATGTAGACACTCAAATTATCAATAATAAATTGCCATCGAAATTACAAGTCTGCTTTCACAGATGGCGCAAGAATTTACTTAATGACATATGTTAATAGTGAATATATGAAACTTTTAATTGAATTGCGGACTATCTAAATGTTAAAATTTTAAGAGCTAAAACTTTCAGAGAATTTTGTTTTATTATTTTGGAAGCGTTTGAGCCCTTGGGACCAAAGAAATTCCGAAAATGTCCATATTAAGGACCACCTTAAATTATAAACATAAATCCTTATAAACATAAATTTCAACGAATATTAAAAATATTATGTGATGTCGAAAAAATAAAATTTATTTTACTACTAACATAAATTATTATTAAAGTGATGATGAAAAGGAGTCTTTTTTATTTCTTAAAGTCTGATGATATATTTTTTTAATTAATTATAATTATTTACGTTTAAGAAATTATAATAATTATGAAGAAATTATTATGTAATTAATTATAATTATTTATATATAAGGAATGATTTGAAAGACAAAGACGAATTGTTGAACCACCTAAATATTTCTTTATAAGTGTATAATAAGATTTTTAGATGAAAATTTTTTGTCTAGTTTTAAGAAATGTTTTGGCTTTATAATATATATATATATATATATATATATATATATATATATAATCATGATTATATATATATATATATATATATGCAGAAACCTCTTTTTGCCCTCAAAAAAAATATTTGATAAATTTTTCAGAAATTTTATTCAACGCTTGGAGAATATGGAAAATCCCTTTTCAGAAACTATTGATAATAAAATAACAAAAATTCAAACACTTATTTAATTACTTAAAAATTGTAAGAATTAACTTTTAACCTGTATAACTAAATATTTTTTTTGCCAAAAATTATACATTTATTTATTTATTTTAAAAATTGTAAGAGTTTACTTCTTACCTATATAACTAAATTTTTTTCCCTATTTATTTAATCATTTTAAAATAGTAAGAATTAACTTCTTACCTGTATAACTAATTCTTTTTCGCCATGCACTCAAAAAACAAAATTAAATTGCACATTTACTGAAAATTATTTTTAATTATTAGATGTTCACTTTAGTAAGTTCGAACTAATACTGTAATTACGAATTAATGTTTCATCCTTTTATAGTTTTTGTATCAATAATTTCTGAGGAAGGGGAATCCCCTTCTCCGAAA